GAGAGAGTCCGCGATTGTCGTCGGCAATGTTTGCTCAGGCATGTGACGTCACATATCCTTCTATGTTTGAGCACTTATTTTGCTCCATATAATATAAGGTCTATGGTTTTGATGCATTTAAATTAGTCCTTTAAAAAGTATGATTTTTGAAGTCTAAAATTTTCCTTTTAAATTTTTTGCATTAGTAATTTACTTTTTTATATTATTAACAGCAATCAGAAAATAATAGTCCTATAAGCTTGTTGTGATCGCATCTTAATGACGTGGTTTTATAGATGGTAATTCAACAGTTGGCCAATCTCTTTTTGTTGAATTTATTCTTAGAATAAGTGTAATAGCAATGGCTTTTTATTGGAATGAGGGGTAAGGGCTATTTTCACTTTCACTTGAAAATATTGTGATCTCTATATTTTCAAGTAGAAACCGATGTCACTACTGCTTGATATCAGGTATGTGATGGGTATTAAATCTGAAACTTTCTGGTTGGAAAGCCAAACTTCTAACCACTAATCTACGAGAAAGCCCTAGTTTTTAGTAATTTGCCTGAATAAATTCTTTTTCTGATACTCTGTTCAAACCTTATAAAAACCATTTATCTACTTTCTCAGTTACCAAATAAATATTTGCATTTGTATTGAAATTTACGTATTTACAACAAACTTCATAAGATTATCCTCCAACATCATTACGAGTGCACCAAGTCATCGTAAAATTCGTTATTTCCTGAATGGGTCAACAACCGAGTTCTTATTTTAAGCCTTCAATTTGCCCGTTTTTCTCTTACCTCATGGTTTTGCTACGATTTCATGAAATAATCATTAATTACAATATGTAATTTATAGATGCACCTGAATAACTAATACTCTAGATATCATTTGACAAAACATATTAGAAGCAGTATAACGAGATTAGTATCTGACCTACTACCGAAGTCTAATAATAATGCCGCGATGAGCGTTTGGCTCAATGCCAATTCGACAAAAAAATATACCATACATTGAATACGAACTGATCTCGTAAAACTGTTCCTGATGTTTTGTTTTAACAAAATATACAGGGCTGTCCTGATGGCTTTACGATTAGAGTCACTTTGGGTAATTGATGGTGCTTGTTAACTAGGACAACGCGAAGACCACTGAGGAAGATTGAGAGGATTATCAATATAGTAAATATTTATAGAGATACTTCAAATTCCAAATTATTTTCTCTTCAGTAATCTTCAGTATATTAGTGGGTAGAGTTTTGTGATTTCAATAAGAAGTCCCAGGTTAGATAGCCGACTCGGACAGCCTGATGTAAAGTAGTAGTGACATCGGTTGTTGCTTGGAAATAGATTGCAATATGTTTCCAAGAGAAAATAGCCCTCATCTGTAATTGCTGCATCAATAAACTTGCCAGTATTCAAAAATTGTAAGAATCAGTTCACATAGAATAGAAACGACTAGATGGGTTGTACAAATAATAAATTTCGACTGATTAAATTTTGTTTGCAGTTAAAAATGTAGACAAAATTTTTTTCATTCATGGGCATATTTATCGCAATCTCCACCACCAAAAGGCGTGTTTTGGAAAGTCTCTTGTTAGCCAAAATACATAGAATTTGAAAAATTTATACTATGACCTTAAAACTGGTTTTCTAGAAGTTGTGTCAAGTTTTAGCACTGGTGTACTCAAAAGTATTGAATAGTTTACATTAGTATTTTTTTGTTTGTTGTTGAACCAAGCAATCAGTACTTTAGAGATATATGAGCTATTCTTATGATACTTTTTACCTAGGGCTTTTTTAGAATGCAACCATTTTTTGCTATTTTTTTCCTAAATATCTGGTTCTATTCCATTATAAAACATCAGCAAATTTTTGGTAATACTTAGAATGTCTGTTTGATATATTTTTCATGACAATTTTACTAAAAGTGATGATATATTTAAATAATTATTTACTAGAATAAGATATTTGAGGGGACCAATTAAAAAGTACAGCAAAGTACGAATTCTACTTTTTAATAAAAAAAACATATCAATTTTCAAAATGTATTAATTATTTGCCTAAGTTTGAATATATGATAAAATTTTTGTGGATGACTTTTCGCATTTCAATCAGCATTGTTGCAATTTTGAAAAAATCTTCATTTTAATAATAAAACTTTGAGAATAAATATATCAATAAATAAATAACAACTCGTTTGAAAAACGTACGAAATTTTATAAATAAACCTTAGAAACTGGGTTGGGGTGCTCTGTTATTGCATTTTTTGGTAATTATAAATACAATCCAAAATAATCGAATATTTATAAAAAAGTCTTTATAAGATCACATTCTACGTGGTTCAAGTAAAAGAATACTAGCCTCATTACTTGGGTATAAAATAGCATATAGTATACTACATGGTAATGTCTAAAAATAAACTTGGTATTTTAGTATATTTATAAACAAGTATATATATACATATACATATATACATATACATATGTGTATACATAAATTTGTTGTAATACTATATAAACACAATATTAATGGACCGATTCTGCCACAGAACAGACCAATGTTATGACAAGGCTATGTTATAAAGAACTCTCCATACTAAATATTGACAAAAACCATGTGGTTGCCGTGTAGTCAGGCATTTTTCTCAGGTTGTCAGAGAGAAAACTCAACCTAGAAATCGCACAAATGTCAAAAAACTATTTTAGATAACAGGGTCTTTCTGACCCAGCTTCATAACATACAAGTGACGTTATGAAGTTATATGTAAAACAAATACATGACATTTTGACAGTATTCAGTATGATTCAATAGCATAATATATGAAAGTTGGAGGGTAACATGGCCTCGCCATAATGGTCATAAGTGTATCAATTAAAAAAGAAAACGATAGACATGAAGTCAACTCACGCCCTAGATGTTCCACATTACTGATGGTAAGATACTCACAGGTGTCTTACATATGGTATTTATTTTTATATTTGCATAATAATTTGTAAAAAAAGCATTATAATCCTAAGATGTTTTCAAACAACGATATATCAAGTTTACACCAACGTCACATTATAAGTTTATATATTTTCAATCAATGATTGATCATTTTCAACACGCGCTGAAGGAAAAAAGAGAAAAATAACATAATGACCGTGAAAAATAATAAAAAATTACACTAATACAGTAATAATCAATGTAAGATTGACATATTGGAACAAAAGCGTCGGTTGTCTAGTAGAATTTGTTCTGTTTCTAAATCGTGTGCTCGTTTATTTCAAGAAATTGGCAGCGCGCGCTGTGCGCTCCCCCATGGCCAAACGATGGGTCATCGGCCACCGCTCTTGCGGAAAACTTTCCCAAAAATTATAATAATCGATTTTGATTATTTTTTTATATTTTCATATATTTTTAATTAAAAATCTTACGATAAAACCACACGCTGGCCACCAAAATTACCGTATACCTTTTAGGCAGGTTGTAGTCTGGAAATAGAAAACATTTCTCTGTGCAGAGGTTACACTTTGCAATCCCTTCAAAAAAAGATTCAAAATACCAAAAAAAGCAAAAATTTTTTTTTCAAAAATATTATTAATTAATATTAATTTTGCTTCCTTATTTTCTAACTAAAATCATGTTCTTGAGAGATGTTCTGAAGATGAATAGTACATAGTCTCAAAATTTTAATTTTTTTTTTGCTATTTTGGATTCTTTGTTCTAAGCAAAACACAATTATACAATACAGAGCATGAACAGAGTTTTAAGGTCTGCGGTTAAAAAGGTGCACCATCAATATCTTAAAAATAAGAAAAGTTGGGCATTTTTTAACAGCAATATTTGTCGAGGGGTAAAAGTAAACAGCAAGTAGAGGGTAAAAGATGTATAACCAGCCATAACCCTGATTCTTAAGTTCACGCTATCGGAAGATAAACGGCAATATTTGAAAATCCATAACAAAAGTATTTTCATCCGTTGTTAGTTTTTTCGGTTGTGAGCACTGTTGTTTAGTTTACGAAACCCTAATATAATTTTTAAGTATACGTTATTTAATTGTTTTATAAGATATATTGTTAATTTTAAGTTAGATTCAACAGCTTATTTTATATAACCTCTATGAAAGCTCACATCTTGGTGAGGTAAAAAGGACCAACTGAACCTTTACCGAGACATAGGTTTAAAAAATAAAAAATAGCAAACAAAAAAATAAATTAAGTTAATTAAAAAAAATTACATGAGATAAATTAAATAAATAGTTTTTCCAACTCTGCTGATGAATATTTCTGACGAAATACCAGATTAAGGTTATTTATAGTGTTATCTCTTTGAAAAATGCACCCTCGAATTTATATTTTGCATTGTTTGAATAATGTAGCTATTAATTTGTAAAATCACTTCAAAATTAAAATTGCATTGCACCTGTCTGCCCCCTGTCCGCCCCAAGTTACACCGCTTGTTGTGTAAAAAGAGCCAGGTTTATATATATATATATATATATATATATATATAATTTTTGAAAAACAGCAAAATATCACATTTCTACAAATATGAAGTAGCTGGGATTTTTACGATCTATATTATAGATCACAGAAGTGAAATAAAAATCCATAAATATTTATGTAAACGTATTAAGCCTTTCGACACCTTTATGTGTATATTAGTGTAGATAAACATATATATTTATATTTTCTCGAAAAACCAAGATGAATGTTTATTATTATATTCTTATTAATTTTAACTTTATGTGCACTTTAGTTTTCATCAGAAGTTATCTGTATGTAGTTTGTAGTTTTATTTCTTCTAATTTGTAAACGATAGTAAATAATAAAAAATATATACTTTAGTCAACGACTCTGACTATATATGCATCTATAAGCAGCCCCCCCCCCCCAGCATTCTAGTATACTGTAAATTAATAGTGATAAACATGTGTATTTCAATCGCAACAATAAATTATTTTTAATTTGATAATTTTTTAATATTAATATTCAAAAATTAAATTATTCTAATTTGTTTATTACTATTCTAGCAATGAAACTGGAAGTAATGGTGCTGCAGGGCCGCCGCCTCCGCCACCAATGGTTACAAGTGTACCTGCAAAGAGACTACCTTCAGAGGTAAGAAATTACTTCAATTATATTTATTTATTCATATAAGGTTGTCAAATATCTCCCTTCCGCCTTTTTGTATTATAAACCAAGAGCAAAAAAGCGGAAGGGAGATATTTGACAACCCTATATGATATCGTTAGAATATTACAAAATTGAAACTACATTAATATTGGTAAAAGCGCCCTCACATCTAGCATTAAATTTTATTACATATTTGCCAATATTATTCAAATAAAAATGTTCATTTTAATAATAAATAAATAACTATTTTAATAAAATCATTATGATTTTTTCTACGACTATAGTATATTAGTTTCGGGTTTCATTATAGTCACGATTTGGATGCCTTTAATAAAAATAAAAATAAATAGGCTTGGAGAAAATAATTTTATTTTCGAAGAATATTTTCATACGTCTATTTTAGTTCCGTGTCGCGTATTGCAACATCTAAATTTTGCTCCGTTGCGACGTGTTAAGTGAATTCTTTTTAATAATAGAATCTGTGAATGCATCCAAACGTCATCGTAACGCAACGCGATCACCACTCGCCGACTACTTGTAAACAGAGCAATCGCGCAATTATGAATCATCAACAATCCGTACTTTCGACGAATTGTTTTGGATTCTCTTATGATAATCATGGCATCAACGCATTATTGTTTATCCGAATGTCTTTACTCCAACCACATAGATTTCTTAATTTTTGGAAGAACCATACTTTTTATCCTTAACGAATTACTTTAATGCTCAATTCAGATTCCAGAAAGATCTAATGAACCGCCTCTATGTGTACAAAATGCAATGCTGACAAAAGACAAGAAGCCTTTCACCTACACTCCGGGTGGTATCGATTTGTCGCAAATTCGATCGCCTCGAATGGCACGACGGATAGTGCGAAACGCTCAAAGCGAAGGAGTGACCGAAACTCCAAAACCGTCGCCGTTGGCCGCCCATAGCAGCGAGCCCTTGCCGCCATCGGCACTGGCGGCAATGCAGCCTCAAATGCCAATTCAAGTTTTTCCATCCAATCCTCCTGCACCAAGACCAAAAGCTCCATCAAAAGCTCCACCACCTCCACCAATTTTGATGAGACCGTCACGTCTTCAAAAACAGCAGTCACCAGGACCGCAAGATTCGTCTGAAAATCCAGCGATAAGTACTTCGCAATCACCGGTTTATAGCCCGCAATCAGGCCTGTTACACCACAAACTTCTAACAGTCCAGGAACTACTCCAACGCAGCTTACACCGAAACCTCAAGTTGCTTCTAAACCTGCAATGGTGGTTAGACCTCCACCTATACTTCCGCCGGCTCGTAGTGCTCAGCGGACTTCAGAACAGACTCCGCGTTGGAGTCCTCCAATTGATCAGAATGTAGGTTCTCTGGTAATACCAGCCGTGCAGCAAATGCCCAAATTACAATCTCCTCCTATTCCGTGGATGCATCAAGGATCAAGAAGTGCGCAACAAGATGTTGCTCCTCCATGGGTCAATCGTGAGGAAAATGACGATGCTAATGTGCGGCCAAGCTCCACGCATATTGTACCGATGCAGGTATTTATTTTATAAATAAAGTTTTTGCATTTACTAAATTAATTTAATACCTCAATAGCTAGATAATATTGATTTCATATTTTATCTTATATGAAATAATTGTTAAAAGGTTGAAGGAAGAGATAATTCACAACCGACGACTCCACAAACACCTGGAGCTAACAAACCAGGAGTTCGAGTGGTTCCAATTAAAATTGAAAGATCTGATAGAAATACTCCACCGAAACAAAGAACACCTGAGTACGAATATTTATAAATAGGTTTCCTATATTGTAAAAATAATATGAGCATACTAAGCGATATTATATTATTGATTACAGAGTGACTAATCAGACGCCAGTTGGTTGGGGAAAAAATAATTCGGGTACGCCTACACAATCTCGCGCTTTTAGATTTCTACAACAGACTACTGAAGGTTACGATGATATTAAACCCAAAACCGTGGTTGTACCAATCGAGTATGAGCAGCCTCCATCTGAGCAAATGCGCAAATTACAATGGCAGAAGATGACAAACTGCTTATGGATCAATTTAAAGCGCATGGTGAGATAAAAGATATTATTTCATATTAATTTATCAAAATTAATTGGCTTATAAAAATTTATTTACTGCTTCAGAATAGAGTAAATGAAGTATGAGTTGTTAATTTTAAAAAAATGTAATAAAATGAGATATAGGTGAAACTTCTTAAAAAATTCTGGTGTCTGAGATTCTGCAAGGCAGATATGGCCAATTGAAAAAGTTGTTTTAGTAATGAATACTGCACATTGTTCATCTCTTTATATAGTGTTTTCTTATACACCCTGACTATTGTTTAATATGTCTATTCTGACATTTGCCAACGGCATTGCCTACCTTGATGTTTTCTCATGTTATCTCAATGAGTTTTCAAAATTCTGTTTTCTTTTCTTGTTCTAAGGAGTTTCACATCATAAAGTACACGTTATGAAATAATGTGAAAAATTATTAAAAACAATAGTAGGTATCATAACATAATCTATTGAAATAAAATCTTCCACTGCATAGTCGATGAGGAACAGTACTTGCATACTGAAGAAGAGCCCAGATTTCGAGGCGCCGCTATTCCATCGAAAGCATTCAGAGTTTTGCAGTGCATGACGGGCACCCAAGCAGATGCTTGTCAGGATGAAGGTTTACAAACTGTTATTGAAGTTTATATTGTTTATGTTCTTTTGATAATGGCAATAAGAGCATGTTTCCGTATTGATTGTCACATCACACCCTCCGTGTAAGGAGTTGGAAAATTTAAATATGTGATTGTTATGAACATATGTTTCGGAATGAGACTCCTTTTTTATGACGGAGGATTTGCATTAAATGTTATTAATCATTCTTATTACACGTACTGTATAGCTTTGCATTTTTCAGGACCTAAAGGGCAGACACGTCCTGTTAAGCCACCAAAACCACAAGGAGGTTAGTTTAATAAATAAAAAACTTCTTATGCGTATGTATACTGACAGTTTGAATAATAAACAGCTATTTTTATTTTGTTGGAAATCAAATCTAAGTTTATCAAATAAACTTATAAAATGTTATTCTATTAACTGACATAATTTTTTAGTGGATCCGACTTCGCCAAAGCCCTACATACCACCGAGCGAACAGAAGGTACTAGAACCTAGAAAATATACTGGATGCAACATACCTGGACGCTCATTTAAAATTTTGCAAGCCATTACTGAGCCCGAAAACTACGGTTGGTATAATCTTTACATATTAAGTATCAAAATTATTTTAATGAATAATATTTCTCAAAAATTTTACAAAAACAATTTGTCGATCGCCAATGTGATTCGACTTACTTTCGGATTGGCCATAAATAATAAAAGATTGATTCTTAATTATTTATTATATATGATATCTTTCATCTTCTCAAGTTTATCATAAACATTGTTGAATGTTAATATCATATAGAATGTTTTTCATTATTTGTATTGTTTACCTTATACTGCATTTGAATGCTAAGACGTTTATTCAGTTGAATAATTTTCACGTGTTAATATTCGTTTCATTGTCATGTCATAGTCAATTGGGTCAATTTGTTTAATTCATGTATAAAATCGACATTATTTATTATCTAATATAATTATTTTTATTAAAATCGTATTCAGATTCATGATATTGTATATGATTGTGCGGATGTTGTGTGACTTTTTGTCATTGTTTTCTAAGCTAGCTGTGGCTAACTGGTTATGGATACGGATGAGTGAAAAGTTGCACAACACAATTAAATAGTTTAAAGTGAAATACACTATTTGGCAAATCGACCCTTGCATCTTTGACATATTTTGAAATCACTCGGATTGACTGTGATCACAGTGTGGCCATTTGATGCAACCAATATTGAAACGGTTATGGGGATTGCTTTTAACGGTTAACGATCATTAACCATGGTGCGTTATGATTAACTACATGTGATCCTATGCGAGGCGATGCTAAACTTCAGAATAAAAACAATAGACGCGCGCACGACTCCAGCGATTTTACTTACAATTAGTCGAAGTTTCTCATCGCGATCGCCGACTTGGCTTTGTGTTTCTTTTTATCGCTTAACATAATGAATTTATTTTTATATACAAATTCTCTACAAGTATCTATATATTAAATGTATATTGTAGTATTAAAACAGTATAAAATTGATTTGTCTAACATTTTAAGAGGGTATTGTTGTCGTTTTGATCTGTTATAGCCGAAGGAACGCTTCCAGATGGTTGCGAGCCGTCTGTGTACGGCGGCCAACCCTGGGAAAATTATGATCCATGTTGGTCTCAAGATCCATATTGGGGTTATTACTATGCAAACC